AGCATCAGACAGGGTTGCCCTTTGGCCCCCCTTCTTTACATCCTGTCCATTGAACTACTAGCTGCCTATATTAGATCCTGTAATAAGATTAAAGGTATACAAAGATTTCCCTTTATACAGATTATATATTCCAGACCTTATCTAACCCAATTAATTCAATTCCAACATTGTCTAATTCAATCTATGAATACAGACAATTTTGGGGATACAAAGTTAATATGGATAAAACTCACATACTGTTTAACTTGGTTTCTGAATGTGAACATCGGGAATTAAAAAAAACTATTCAAATTTAATTAGGAATCGAATCACATAGATTATCTAGGAACCAAACTTACTCTTGATATAGAGAATATTATAGAGGCTAATTATGTGGCTCTATTAAAAGAATTTAAGAGATGTACTGCCAAATGGAAGGGACTGGAGATTTCCTGACTGGGTAGGATAAACGTAGCGACCGCCTATTTCATTCTTAAACTAACCGACCAGTTTAGGAATATCCCCCTTTGGGTTAATTCACAGATTTTGAGGGATTTTCAAAAAACATTAACAAATTATATCTGGCAAGGAAAAAAGCCACGAATAGTTCAACGTGTTCTTCAAAAACTAACATCGGAAGGGGGCAGTCACTATTTGGCATGGCATGATTCAACCTCAATGATCAGAAATGGAGCAATTTGATTTGAGTAAGCTTGTATCCTTTCATTTTTTTCTGGTATGATTAAGATCAGATTAAAAGTTTATATAAAAATAAATAAATTATAAAACAGATTTGTACAATGATTATCTTAAAGAAATTTAAGATCAATAAAGGCATTTTTTTTTTAAAAATCCCCTATCTAGATTGCATAGAGTTAGCAATTAAAGATATTGACTTGAGACTAGAGTTGAGCGAACCCAAACTGAAAAGTTCGGGTTCGTACCGAACATTATGTTTTTTTGCCCCCGGACCAGAGCACGGACATATCACTGTAGGTTCGGGTTGGAGTTCGGTGTTTGGCGATTTAATGACGCGTTTTGAAAGGCTGCAGGGCAGCCAATCAACAAGCGTTTGACTCGTGTGCCCTTAGAAGCCATTACAGCCAAGCCTACTAATGGCATGGCTGTGATTGGCCAGTGCAGCATGTGACCCAGCCTGTGGCTGCTCACTGTTGAAACCCCCCCCCCTCCTGAGCCCCCACCTGCGACGCGCGAGTAGGGGGTTTTAAACTAAAGGGGGGACCTATTGCCTCCCCCAGCCCCCACCCCTGAGCAGTTGGTGGGGGTCCTAAATAACAGTCCCGGCCCCCACCCTTGAGCGGTGGGTGGGGGCCACAAATAAAAATTGGGGGGGACCTAATGTCCACCACCCCGGACCCCACCCCTGAGCGGTGGGTGGGGGCCCTAAATATCAATAAGGGAGGGGGACCCATTGTCCTGCCCCCACCCATGCGTGGCGGTTGGGGGACCTAAACAACAATAAGGGGGGGACCTACTACCCTCCCCAAGTCCCCCCCCCTGAGCAGCGGGTGGGGACCCTAAATAACAATAAGGGGGGACCTACTGCCCTCCCCCGGCCCCCGCCCCTACATGGCGGGTAAGGGCCCTAAATAATAAGGGAGGGGACCTACTGTCCTCCCCCCCAGCCCCCACCCCTGAGCGGTGGGAGGGGGCCATAAATGAAAATTGGGGGGGAACCTAATGTCCTCCCCCCCGGCCCCCACCCCTGAGCGGCGGGTGGGGGCCCTAAATAAAAATGTATCCCCCCAGGTGATCGGGTCCCCAAACCCTTAGTCACCCCCCTCCCCCCAAAAATATTACCCCTACCTACCTCCCTCATCCTAAAAATAATGAGGGGGGACCCTTATCTAAATATCTGTTAAAAAAAAAAAAATAGACTTACCATTTGATGTCCTCTTTCTTCTAAAATCTTATTTTTTTCAGCCCCAAAAAAGGCCATATAAAAATCCATAATAACCAACGCACTTACAAAACGAGTGCAAAAAAATAAATCCATTTTCACCCATGGAGGGCTCCGCACAGACTGAGCTCTGCAGGGCGGGGGAAGGCTTATAAAATGACCCAGAGCACTCTGATTGGTGGATTAAGTAACCAGAGTGTTATGAGTCAAATTACACAGCGTCAGTCTCTTCATTTACCTGTCAGAGCACTCGGATTGGATGGCTTAAACCCACCAATCAGAGTGCTCTGAGCCTAATTGCAGGGCGGGGCAAGGCTTTATAAGCCTTCCCGTGCCATGCAGAGCTCAGTCTGCACGGAGCCCTCCATGGGTGAAAATATTTATTTTTTTGCGCTCATTTTTTTTTTTTTTTTTTAAAGTGCGTCGGTTATTATGGATTTTTATTATTCAGACGATGTCCAGAGTCAGTCAGTCACCTAGCAAGCAGAAAGTGCCTCTAGTGGTGGTCTTAGTGCAACATGGCAGTTTCTCTAAACTGCAATGATTTACACTGCAGGACTAAATGTGACAGGGGCATTGCACCCAGGCTACTTCACTGAGCTCAAGTGGTCTGGGTGCCTATAGTGTCCCTTTAATAAATAAAAGTTTGCTATTACTATAAATAAAAACTGTTTCCAAAACAATCATCCATAAGCTCAGGTCCATACAACTTTCATTTAAAAATTTGATATCATGAGGTGCAACCCACACACCACCACACAGTATGTAAGACAACACTGTTTCTTTTACAATCAAAAGCATTATCCAAATTTTTTTAAATTGTCCTTAACAGTCTAATCCAAAATAAAAATCATAATGTGTTATTCGTGTCTCCAAAAATAAATAAAAAATTAGAAAAGAAACCCTGTTTTTGCAGAGGCAAAAGCTAAAATTTCTATTTCATACAATTGCGCTGTTTAAAAATTGAAGATCTCTTTTAGCATAAGAAAACACAGTAGCTACTTTTATTTCCAGTGGCAGGCAGATTAGTCATCCTGTATCCAAGTGACTGTGTCCAACTAGCTCTAGTCTCCATCTTATTCAAGGGAATTGTAACAGGGCAAAGGTGAAAGCAATATCCACATGCACAGTTGCTATGCATTTAAGGGACACTAGTAAAACCCACACCTGCTTACTTACCATGTCTTCTTCTGTGTAGTCCAAACAGTCACTTAAAGATTTATGGGTGTGACTTCTGCCTGTAAGGTCATTCTGTTGTCCTGCCATGCCAAGGAAATTAGTATGTTTCAATAAAGTCCAGGTGCAGGAAACCAATTTTATGGAGGTAGCAGAGCTATTAAATGTTAATTCACCGATTGAATGAGGTCAAGAACAACAGCAGTACAGCAGACAGCACACTTTTTAGTGTACACGTTTTTTAGAATGTCATTATCTTCAATCTAAAATAGCATTTTCTCCAGAATGAAATAAAACCACTCAACTGTTACAGATAAACTATAAATATTGAAACCAATTTATTTAACAAAATGTCACCCCTAAAAGGGATTCACACACTTAGAACATGTTCTAGGATTTGAGATCTATGCATCACCTGCAGACCCAGTTATCACTACCCATGTCACTGGACTACTTATGTATTTCCTTAGGATTGAACGCTGGGTTGACCATAAGGAATAAATAAATTGCACAGTTGCTTCATTAGCCAAATGCGGTAAATCATTAGTCTGACAGCAGTGAAAGCCTATCCAATTGCACAAGTTGCCACAGGTACATATACTGTAAAATAAAACAGAAACGGATATAGCAGGAGTTGGCAGCATATTGGTTTGAAATTGATGTTCCAAACAATTACAGACAAAAATGTAGGGGTGGGGGGGTGGAGGGAGTGGGATTTTCAACACAAAGTATTTAATTCAATCATTCAATTTTTACATGTCCATACAAGTACAAATCCCATTATATTGATAGTTACACAGTACACAACATACCGTTTAAGATAATGATAATTTTGCCCAAAATGTTATATTACCCTCTAATAAAATTGAAATTTGCGTTATTCATGAAAATCATTAATAAATCTAGGTACAAAAAGTCAAAGACAGACAGATACATCCATGGATTTCAAGAACGAAACTTAGGGAAACTGGGTCTGTCACATTCTGTATCGCAATCTAGAGAGAGTAGAAATCTTGGCTGAATTAAAAATCATTAAAAACACTTGTATTTGCCTGGTTTCTCTTACCTAGCTTAATTTGTGGTATCAAGAAAATGCTAATTCCTTTGCATTTTTTTTAACATGGTATGTATACAGTACAAACTGAGTCATTGGGGTGTCCTTATAAATAAAAAGCTGCACTGTATAAGAAATACAGCATAAAATAATAGTATTTCAATTTATAAAAGTGGTATTTCAATTTAGACAGTATTTTGCGGATTAGTTCAGAAGGCAGAAATTACTTATTCTGTATAGTGTTACCATATTTTTAACGTTATGTAATATATATGTACATTTCCTTTCAACAAGAATTTTGAAGTGGGCACCTCTTATATAAAGCAACAAACAATTTGATGGAAATTTTAGTGCTTGCATCAATTGCCACAACCCTCATGCAGTGTTTATTTGTCACTAGATAGTCTGTGGAATCACCTTTAAAAGAGGTTATGTGATCCTGCTTAACCCTTCACCACTGAGCACTTTCTGATTGAACAAAATTAACATAACATGTATTTGAAGCAAGGGGTACATAGCTAGTTTATAAGCATATCACAACATAGCAGTTTTGTATATAGATTCCTTTGCAGACAAACGCAAAAATTAGAAATATGTAAACAATATTTTTATTTTTCACTTATTCGTACCTCCTTTACAAAAAATAAAGAAATATCAGGGAAATGAAAATTTCTCACATACAGTTAATGCACAAAAATAGATAAATAAAAATGGATAGATAAATTGCTTAGGTATTTGTAGTAAGTACCCTGTAGGTCTTACTAGCAGTACAGCTTACTAAAAATGTCAACATAATTTAAAAACATGTCTGCATCTACCACATACAGCAAAACAATATATTTCTAAAATAAAGATACTTAAAACTGCTGTAGCAATCTTTATCAGTCTATGATCTGCTAATGCAGCGTTTCCCAATTGGTGTTCCGCAAGAACAAAACTGGGGTTCCTCAGTGAATCGCCACATCCAGGATGGCCACCGCTCCCTGCTGTTCCTGGAAGGTCAGAAACGATTTCTTATACTGCAATTTAGAGATTACTGCCCTTTAAATTAGTGCCCATTGTGGCACATGAGGATAGGTTTATTTATTTTGTCATGTAGACACTGTTAAAAGTCTGCAGCTGAAAACAAGTTATTTGGGTTGTGCTTTTCACATTTTTCCATTAATTTTTACTTATTTACATATAATTTTAAATATATATATAGTTCTGTGTACTATCTGTAGAAATCTGTGATATACCCCCAAATTTTCTTTCTAAGAGCTGTTAACAAAACAGCATCCTTTACAGTCAGGTAGTGAAAACTGAAGTAAAGCGTTCTCTTTACTCCAAGACTGAGCCAAAATCCTGCTTACATTCATTTCTTTCCAAGAGCTTTATAAAAAAAAACAAAAAAAAACAGCATCCTTTGCAGTCAGGTAGTGAGACCTGTTTAAGTTTTCTAATCTTTTTGCTCCAAGACTGATCCAAAACCCATCTTTCATAAAGTTATTTCTAAGAACATTATAAAAACCAGCATCCATTGCAGTCAGATAGTGAGATATATATTTTTTTTAAGGTTAGAGAAGTGTTTTTTTTTTTTTGTTTTTTTTTTAACCAACCAACAACCATGAATTTAGACATCTGGTTAAAACAAGGAACTATCAAGAGAAAAAGCAATGGGTTCCACTGGAAAAATTAATTGGGAACCCCTGGGCTAATGTAATGTTGGCAGTGAAATGGTACAGTCTAGTCTATTCACTCCCTCTACACCCCCACCCCCAGACTATAAGTAGGTTATTGCCATCACTCTTTGAAACTTCCTGTACTGTTTGAAAGCAGGGGGTGAGGCCTACACTTTCAGCAACATTACATTCATTAGATCAGTGACTAGAGGCTTCTGACAGAGATATTTATTCATCTACACGCTGCTAATCGGAGTATAAACAATGGTAAGTGAGGTTTTATGGACTAGATTTCTTGCTGCAAAATACATGGAAATAAAAACATTTATGCTTTATTTTGGCATTGAAGGGGTTAAGTCACCATCACATGGATAAATGGCCAGCATGACAAATTTAATATAGTTCAGTACTTAAAATGCAAAGTTAAATGAATAAAGACAAAAATAAAAATGCTACCCAACTTCCTCTAGATTTTAGAAAATGATGCATATAAATAAAATACTACAAATATACAAGGATTTGTACAAGTGGGCAGAGAAGGAGTTTGTATAACAGATGTCATGCTCCTCGGAAGTGTCAGAATTTAAGGTAATTCTGTTCCAATGGGGATATGGATAACATCTTGACAAATGCAGCACTAAAGCGCTGGTTAAGGAACTACCATTGTAGAGGGTTTCCAATTCTTTAAACTCTCAAGAACGAATAATCCATACCAAATCCAAAATCACAACTGGTCATTTTCGGACCTGTACCAGCAAGGAATACCCTACTTATTTGCCATAGGCCTCTAGGACATTTCTTGACAAAGTGAGGTTTCTTGAGACCAGATTTTTTATGAGAGACCATCATTGGTGCTTAAAACAAGCATGGGGCATTTATGTCAAGATATACATCAAAACTTTCCTTTTGAAGCAGTATGTTTGCAGCATCGATTTAGATTTTTTTTGTTCTTTAAAAGTTAGGAATATAAACACGTATTAATACATGTATTACCAACACCGTCGTGTTCTCACTAGTAGGACCCACGCCCAAAATTAAAAGAAAAAAAGTTAGTTACCGCTCAAAGACTTCACGTTGGTGCTGCCGCCCACTCCTCCTGCCACTATATCATGCAGCAGGTGTTGCTTTCTTGGCTTCTCGTCCAATCCAGTACTTCTTACAGAGAAGTATTAGAAATGAGAAATACATGCACAATGCTTGTCCAGTTAAATGATTCTCTATGATCACCATGTGATGACATTCGAAGTTGAACGTCACATAAATAGAGTCAAACTCTATTATGAGTGTGGATGCACCTCGACAAGCTGTCAGGAAGACAGGCACTAGGCGTGCATTTAAGCCTGCAATTAAAACATTTCTGTGTCTACTAAATGGAAATGTTTTAGACTGCAGGGCTGTGGTGACAGAGGCACTGCACCGAAACCACTTCATAGTGTCCCTGTAAGTTTTCCTTATTCCCCTTGTATTTTAAGCATTACTCTTACCCCTTTCCCACCTGCCTTATATTTTTATTTTCTTACTTGCACTGGATAACAATATTTGGATGTGGATATTTTGTTCTCCCTGGTCTATGAAGACTTAATTTATCCTTCTGGGAGATTATTTTGACTGATAAATTGAGCGTAAAGTAGCTTAGCAACTGAAATGTTTAAATAAATTTTGCTTAAGCTCCACCCATCGTCAACTATTTTTCACAAAAGAAAAAGCAGTCACTACAGCTCTCTATATAATAGATACACTGATCAATCACAACAACATTAAAAACCATTGTCAGATGAATTGAATAGAGCAGGGGTTCCCAATCCAGTCTTCAAGTACCCCTAATAGTCCGGGATGTAGGGATTACCCTGGTGTGTCTAAAGTGTTATTTTAATTGTTTTCTAAAAACACCTTAGACACAATTGGGTAATCCCTAAATCCTGTACTGTTAGGAGGTACTTGAGGACTGGGTTGGGAAACACTAGAGAAGAGCATCTCCAAAACGGCAAGACTTGTGGGGTCTTCTCAGTATGCAGTGGTTACCAATAGAAAGTGGTGTGAAGAATGACAAGTGGTAAAGAGGCATCAGGAACATGGGCAGCAAAGGCTTACTGATGCACTTGGGGAGTGAAGACTTGTCCAATCACACAGAAGAGCTCAAAAACTTAATTCTGACAAAGATAGAAAGATAAAAAAAGTGCTTTGCAGTCTGCTGTATATGGGGCTGTGTAGCCAGAGACCGGCCTGTGTGCCCATGATGACACCTGTCTATGGCCGAAAGCCCCTTCAATGGGGACGTGAGCATCAGAACTGGACCATGTAACAATAGAAGGTGGTTGAATGGAGAGTCACATTTTCTTTTTTGATTAACTGGATGGCATTTTGTGTGTGCTTTGTTTACCTGGGGAAGTAATGGCGCAAGTGCAAGAAGGCATGCCGGCAGAGATAGTTATGCTCTGAGCAATGTTCTGCTGGGAAACCTTGGGTCCTGGCATTTAGGAAGATGGTAATTTCACATACCACATAACTAGAGATTGTAGCAGACTACAACAAATCCGATTAATGGGGCCCACCTTTGGGCAGAACTTAAAGGATCTGCTGCTAATGTCTTGTTGCCAGATACCACAGGACACATTCAGAGGTCTTGTAGAGTCAATGTCTTGACACATTAGAGCTGTTTTGGCAGCACAATATTAATCAGGTGGTTTTAATGTTGTGGCCGGTCAGTGTATATAGATATTAAAGGTTCGTATGTATTATTAGATATGCTTTAGTCAAGTATTAATCCCTTTAAAGGGACACTCGACTGTCCAAATGTAAAACCACAGTTTTGTATTACCTAATCAAAGCATGCTTGCATTTAATTATGTATTTTTTCCGTTAGGGGTAGATCTAAAAACAGCTTGCAAAAAACTGCAGTTCTCTTGTTTGAAGCCTTTGCAATGCCTCCCCTTCTTCTCCAGCCAAGACTTTCTGGGTCCATCAAATTACAGACTTCCCAATGCAGCTCAATGAGAAGTCTTTCCAAGGCAGCTGCACTGGGCAATTGATGCCTCTTGAGTTTATCTCTACCAAGCAAATCAAACCAGGAAATAAATTTGGTAAAATGGGGGGGGCGGGAACACTTCATATATAAAGCACTTCAGCAGTGTTCTATGGAATGTCTCTTTAAGGAGCATTAACATTATATATAGCTATCGCAATATGGCCATCATGACCATGGCATTCTAAAAGTCCAGATACAAAGTACCAAATAATTTTGATAGGTACCCAGTATCTGCTGAATGAGCATGGAACCCCTTTAACAGTAGAGTGGTGAAACAAAATTTAAAACCCCAGCCACAACCTCCCCATTCTATTCCTTCATTACAAGTCTTCTCCCCTTACCCAGATTATTTTAGGCACACCTTCACAGAAGCGAGACACATTAAACCAGTTATATATTGGGTACAATCGAAACTTTGTTACAAATGGGTTTTGATTATTTTTACATTTATGTTTTAAGGCTATGTAGTACCAATTATGTCAATAAATTTGTCTTGAAACTTGTTTAACTTAAAACATTAAACAAATGCCTTTATTAGTAGGCATATTGGTAAGTTGGTAATTAAAGATGCCAAACGAAGGATAAAGAAGTGCACGAAGATACATGTTTTAACGATTTTAAGCATCTTCTGCAATAAATACAGCACCAAATACTTTTGAAATTTTATAAACTGGTTAATATCAAGTTAGTCTAAACACGTTACACAAGTTGCCATGATTGAAGATCAGCTAATGTTTACTTCCTCAGTATAGCTGAATGACATTGTCCCACTCATCCACAGGCCACATGCCATTTGGCTGAACATTGGTTGGGGAGCTTTTCCAGTCCCAGATCTTTAAAGGGACATCCCAGTTCTTTCCATAGTTCGCTTCCACGTAATTCAGTGTTTCACAGGGAACTTGAACTTTTAGCTCTACAAATTCAGTCCAACAAAGTGTAAACTTTGGAAAGAGGTATCTGAAATTAAAAACAAAATGACAATTCAGTAAACAACTGTGCTTATATTGTGCCTCAAATTGGGATTACATTAACCCCTTAAGGACGGAGCCAGTTGTACACGTTGTGATCAAAACAAAACTTAAAGACTGGAATTTGCACTTTAAGGCTGTTCAACCGTAATTCACTTTTTTCATATTAAGTGCACCCACACTTATTATAGATCATTTTGTTCAGGAGAAACACTGCTTTCATTTCACATGAACAATTTATATATGAAACAATTAATTATGAATAACATCTAAAATAAAAAAAGTGTGAGAAACTGAGATTTAAAAAAAAAAAAAAAATCTTGTTCTGTGTGGCATTTTAACTGTAAATTTCATAATACTGTTAGCTTTTACTGCAAATATAGCACAGTTCATTTTTCAGTTTATACACATTAAATTTGCCAGACTGGTTATGTTGCCTTTGAGACTGTATCGTAGCCCAGGAATGAGAATTACCCCCATGATGGCATACCATTTGCAAAAGTAGACAACCCAGGGTATTTCATTTGGGCTATGTTCATTCTTTTTTAGTAGTCACTTAGTCACATACACTGGCCAAAGTTAGCCTTTATAGATGTATGTGAAAAAATGCAAAGATACACTCTCAATAGGCAAAATAACAAATCTGGCAAATTTCAATGTGAAAAAATGTAAAACAAGTCTAATATTTTACCATGTAACTTTCAAAAACAATATAAAACCTGTACATGGGGTTTTCATGTTATACTCGGGAGACTTTGCTGAACACAAATATTGGAATTTCAAAACGTATGTATCATTAGTTTAAGCGCCGTTTGTGTGTTAAAAAAAATAAAAATTTAAATTTTTTTAAAAAAATGCAAAAACGTTACTTTCACTGACAATATTACTGTTTAACTGTGATATGTTTAACGGTTTTGAAACACTAATATTTGTGTTCAGCAAAGTTTCCCGAGTAAAAGAGTACCCCCCATGTACAGGTTTTATAGGGTCTTGGAAAGTTACAGGGTTAAATATAGTGCTAGCAAATTCTCTGGACTTTCTGGCAGGTCTCAAATTGTAATCAATAAAATTACTTAGTTGTGTAAAAATATTTTATAAATATATGCATTTGAAATTTACATGTGTATTTATGAAGTTATTTATAAAATTATGTATTTGAAAATTTAAATTATTTTTATGTATTTATAAATATTTCATTCTAAGTGTATTTTGATATGAATAGTCATATCAAAATACAGTTAAAACGAAATGAGATATACCGTATTTTTCGCTCCATAAGACGCACCTCACCATAAGACGCACCTAGTTTTTAGAGGAGGAAACCCAGAAAAAAAAATATTCTGAACAAACTGTTCCATAGTGTTTCTTACCATGGGACAGTTTGTTCAGAATATTTTCTTTTCTCCCCTGTCCCATAATGATCTTTAACCCCCCTTTCCTCTGTCCCATAGTGATTGTTAACCCCTCCTACCCTGTCCCATAGTGATTGTTAACCCCTCCTACCCTGTCCCATAGTGATTGTTAACCCCTCCTACCCTGTCCCATAGTGTTCTTTAACCCCTCCTCCCCTTGTCCATTAGTGTTCTGATCCCATAGTGTCCCCCCCTCCCATTGTCCCATAGTGCACTTTCCCTCCCATAGTGTCCCCCCCTGCCCTTGTCCCATAGTGTCTCCCCCTCCCCTTGTCCCATAGTGTCTCCTCCCCTCCCCTTGTCCCATAGTGTCTCCTCCCCTCCCCTCCCCTTGTCCCATAGTGTCTCCTCCCCTCCCCTTGTCCCATAGTGTCTCCTCCCCTCCCCTTGTCCCATAGTGTCTCCTCCCCTCCCCTTGTCCCATAGTGTCTCCTCCCCTCCCCTTGTCCCATAGTGTCTCCTCCCCTCCCTTTCTCCCATAGTGTCCCCCTCCCCTTGTCCCATAGTGTGTCTCCTCCCCTCCCCTTGTCCCATAGTGTCTCCCCCTCCCCTTGTCCCATAATTACTTACCTGTCTTGGAGCGTGGGCCGGCTTCACAGCGCGCTCCGCGGTCCAGGAACTTCTATTTCAGGTTCCGGTTTCCGGCGGGACTGAAAGGAAGTGTGCACACTCAGTGAAGCCGGCGCGCTGTGAAGCCGGCCCACGCTCCAAGACAGGTAAGTAATTCTTCACATTCGCTCCATAAGACGCACAGACATTTCCCCTCACTTTTGAGGGGAAAAAAAGTGCGTCTTATGGAGCGAAAAATACGGTAGATATATATAAATATATATATCTTTTTTTTTTTTTAAATTTACCAATATATTATTTTATTTTACAGGAGCAGGGAGACTACCTGTGCAGGCAGCAATATGGATGCCTCTTTCAGAGCGATCACATGGCCCGCGGGGCAGAAGGGGACTGTCTAGACCATGGGTCGTCAACCTGGTCCCTACCGCCCACTAGTGGGCGTTTTGGGATTCCAGGTGGGCGGTAGGGACTTTGGAGGTTAAAACCTCCTTTTGAGCGAGCGCGCGAGCGGGCGGGCGCGCGAGCGAGCGCACACATCAAGAAACCAACGCGAGCGAGTGGGCGGGCGGTGCAGGCGGGCGCGAGCGCACACATCAGTCAACCTCCTTTTGTGTGAGAAGTTGTCGGGCGGGAGCGAGCGCACGCAAACACGTGGGAA